GAAGAATAGCTTTATTATACTCAAATGAAAGGCAATTTAGAGTAGATTGCAAATAGTGTATCATTTTTCTGATTTGGGCCTCGAAAAATTCAAAATGGCTGCCTAATATGGGATTATGCAATAATTTTCTGACCTAATCAAAGTATGGCAATATTATACTCAAATCACAATTAGTGTATTGCTTTTCTGATTTGTGGCTCAGAAAATTCAAAATGACTCCCAGAGTGGGATTTCGCAAAAAATGTCCTAATCCTTTTAAAATATGGCTATATTTAGTTATATGTGTTGTTGTATGTCTGTCTTATTATCTGCAAATCAAGGTTAGAGTAAATGGTAAATATAATATCAGACATATACAGATTAATAGAAATTTGTTCGTTGGGATTTGTTACTCCGTGGAGTTGCCATTTTCTAGTTTGAAAACATACGTTTGTATATTTGCATCAGTTTCACCTTATTGCTGGATTTGGCTGGAATTTTGATATATCTTTAAAGCTAGCCTTAAATATGCTACTAGCATATATTCATGAAGAAGGGGTAAATATATTTTGAGATTTCTTTCTGTATGAGGGTTCTATACTTACATTGGCTATCCATACATTAGTTTTTGTGGTACAAGTACAATTGAGAATGTTTTTAACAGAAAACATCTCATAAAATCAATAATTGTTACCTAGCCAACTGTTTGCCGAGAATAAACATTGATCGATGTATAAAAATAAAATAGCCTGGATGCCATTTGTCATCCATCTATAGCACTTTTTTTTTTAAAGTGCAAATTGAGAATTTCTATTGGATAGCATCTAGATTGCCATGTGCATGGCCATGTGGCTGGATCTAAAGTGACGCAAATCTGAGTACATATAGCAGAAAAAGATTAGAGATCAATGATCAGCCAAGATTCCAATGCCAGGGCTTTAGGTTAAAGTTCATATAATAAGAGACGTGTTAAACCAAAGTACATTTTTGAGTTGTTATGCCTTCACCGATTGGACTGATTATACTGGATACTGCGATAGAAATTAACGTTATTTTGTTGCTGTGCAATGACATGAGAATTGAAATTACACCATTCAGTAATATTTTGAGTTATGGTCTTCATTACAGACACTAGATCAGGTACTATGATAACGTTTAAGGATTTTACATTATTATGACGTGATATAAGGATTACATCAATCTTGATGGTATACAAGGCTAGCACATTTAATGATGACTTAAAATGCTAGGCATGATGTGGAATAATACAAATACAACAAACTGTACAGAAATGTCACCGTGGGAGACATGGGATTTTCCCGAGATCCCAAGTTTGGGCTCATCTCATGTGAATAACCCACAGGAAACCCCTGGAGATCTTTTAAATATTGACAATGGAGATCATCATTACGATCCCTTAGTAGCTTTAGAAAATGGATTAAAATGTGAGCCTGTAGCCGCTGAGGATGAAATGTCAGTTTGTATTGATGCAAAAGAAGGTATAATCTAAACTTCATCATTTATCTATTTTATTTAACTTTAACCATTTTATTTTATTTGAGGATTTCATATTATATTCTTACAGAATGTGTCTTTATGTGTAACATATCTTCTTTTGGGCTCCTTTTAGAGAACCTAATTCTACTTTAAATTCTATTTATCCTGATACAACTTATGCGATTTCCTTATATTCTAAATGTATTTACCAAAGGTGATTCAACTTTGAAATGCATTTATCCCATCATGATAAATGCACCCCCTTTGCCTTTATCTTCAAGCGGCATATAAGAGGAGGTCTGGTCAGAATGTATTTATCTATGTATAACTAACATGATTTTTGTTCCATGTTCTAAATTTATTCACTATGGGAATTGGAATGTGAAATAAATGACAACCGCCATTTGATTGGGGTGCTGTAATTCCCTTATTTAATACCTCAGTCATATTGGCTCTGATTTCCAAAAAGGCACAGTGCCAGCAAGCTGGGGACCATACATTTATGTACTGGGAGATATCACTTTTAAATTAACTACATTTGAAAAAACCCCATATAATTTATGATGACATTTACTGAATCTATGCACATATACCTCTTATTTAGACCCATAAGTGCATGCATATTTATAACCACTTAATATTGTTATTCTCCCACTGGGATAATAAGGTATTAATAAAACACATTCTTCCCATGTTATACTAATGAACTTTTCCAAGAATGTCTTCTGAGTTTAGTACCTACAGGCACAGTATAATGATTTTGAGTTCTCATTTTGCTAATCACAGATATACATGAACACACGTAGCATATAGTTGAAAAGTATATACAATTTAAGCTGACAACATTTCCTGTTATTTGCTGATAATAATTCACAGAATTAGAGGAATTATTCACTTGCAAAAGGTGGTTTCTTTAGGTTCGTGTTATAAAGGTTCAAAACTTGGTTGTGAATAGGTTTTAGATGCCATGTGAATAACCTAAATTGTTATTCATGATATTTGAATATGTTGATCACAGAGTATACAAACCAAAATATCTTGACCCCGAGTGATAAAAAATACACACATGTTCATACAGATACACTCAGGTTCACAACTTACAAGCACTGAGGTACATAACTCCCAAGCAAGTTCAATGCTTCTATTGACCCGTCACCAATTGAAATAAAAGTACTTCAACTCATTCTATACATGGTCAACATCTTTCGGTTTTGTACAAAGAGTACATAAATATATACTTTGTGTAAAACATTATTAGTTGACGGTTAATAATATTTTAGTATACTACACTACAGGTAATTATTTTATGAAAAAAGGAAATGTTGGCACATGTAAAATTGAATGAAGCCCTTGAATGCTGAATAGTATAGAAAAGGGTGTTTTACAGACAACCAGACAGGTACTACAGATAGACAGATATTTAAATTGTGGCAGTCTCACACTCAAGAGATCCTTAACCTTGTATATAATAGAGCAGTTTTGAATGTTTCATGAATGTTATCTTACAAAACTTCTAATTAACCTTTGCTTACACTCAAATAAAAAAACCAATCCATGCAATAGCATCCTCCTAAGCAGGTATCCAGAATCCATGCCTCCTTCTTCCCCCCTGCTATAACCAATTCGGAAGCCACCGATTAAACCGAATCACGTGATCTAATTATACGCAATGACTTATACATGATTTCTGTTGCGACAGCCAATCAGATTGCGAGTTCTTAATCGGGGAAATGCTAACTGCTTATCGCAGGGGGTAAAAAGAAAGAATATATTCTGGATTTTGAAGCCCTGTGATCGGAGGATGTGCAATAGCAAAGTAAATTATCTTTCTGGAGGAGTTTTGAAGAAGCCAGTTCCGTATTGTAATTGTAATGCAGATGGCCATCACTCAGAAAAATAATCTTTCTATGGCAACTTTTTCCTTCATTTACATGAAGGATTTTAAAAATTAATATGTCTCCTCAATTTTGTTTTATCTTTAAAAATATTTCTTGGTAAGGAACCGGAGCAGGTAAGGAGGTGGAGCTACCCAACCTTGTATTTGCGAATGTAACTAACGCCTATCGGCTACCGGATTAACCTAGTATTTTATGACCCAACTCATTTAGATATGAATAGAATAGTGGCAGGTACTTTTCATATTTAAATGAGTTACCCATAAAATAGTAGTATAAGACATTAGTTGCATTTGCAAATACAAGCCTAGTTTTGGTCGTTAGAAGAGTAGGTCCAGGGTCTTGAAGCAAGACTAGAAATGCCTCCTTAAAATCAATATATTTGGAATTTGGAAATGAGTTATTAAAAACATATATCCATAGTAGAAAATTAAATAAAAACTTCTGGATATTTCTTGGTTAAATGTTAAATGCTCTAGGTTTTCCCAAAATGAGATATTTCCACCCCATGATGAAATTAAATATTATGGAAAAATTAAGAGATAGAAAAGAGAAATGTTTGTATGACTCTGTCTATATTCGAAAAAATAAGTGAAACTTTATAGTTAGTATAGGGCTAGACTAGATGGTGCTAAAATATTTCCGATTTTCAACACTAAATATTGAAAATTTTGTCTAAGTTGTATCACACTTAGAACATGTATTTGAAATTCTTATTAAATGTATCTTTTGCTTTTTGACATGCTAAAAATATGTAAACAAAATTGTGTGAATAGATTTTGTACTGATTTGGGTTTAGCCTGACCTGAACATGTTTTCAAACTATTGAAAATTACTGTAATAATATTTAAACAGGCGCGGTTACGGTTACGTAGTTCATATTCAGCTATTGAGTCAATTGAATAAAAAACTATGAAGTTGAACACAGACACATCATACCTGTACATACCATTATACCAATTCCAAAGTTGTTTTAATTATTACTTATTTTTTAATGGATTCAAGTTTTTAATAAAAATACGACATCAGCTGTAACAAATAATGGTTTCTTCACCCAGTGGTTTGAGTTAAAACAAGGCTTGCGTCAAGGCTGTCCATTAAGTGCATTGATCTTCATTTTAGCAACAGAAATGTTCTCAAATAAAATTAGGCAAAATGATAATATAAAAGGGATTACTATAAATAATGACACTAGTGTAAAAATTACAACATATGCAGATGATGCCACTGCATTTCTAAAAGATAGTGCATCACTAGAAGAACTCATGAAAGAGTCTGATAAGTTCTATTTAACCACAGGTTTAAAACTAAATAAAGAAAAATCCCAGGCAATGTGGCTCGGGCAAAACAAAATTCAATTGAATCACCATATAGTATAACATGGAAACCTGGACACAATGCCAAACTGAAAATCTTGGGAATTATATTTTCTAATACATGGGTTGTTGTTTTACCGTAGTATTATCACACTTGGGCACTCTAAGTTAAATTTTTAAATTACAGATGCAAGAGCATATCACAGCCAAGATCTGGCTGAGTTTTGGTCCAACTGGCTAAAATATTATTAACGTCATTTTTTTAAATAAAGAATTGAGATATTTACCATTGTGTCTTGTTATGATTTTTCAGATAACCAAGTGAAAAGTAGTTCTGGTGGGGCCGTGCAATCACAGGCTGACTCTGCGGAAGGGGCAGGTTCCCCTACTGAGGGTGAGGACCAAGAGTCACATGGACCAAGCCCTAGGTGCCTGGTATGTGGGGACAAGTCCTCAGGGGTCCATTATGGTGTACTAGCCTGTGAAGGTTGTAAGGTAATTGTATTTATGGTTATAATTTTTTGTTGTTCGGTAGCATCGAAGATAACATCATCAGTAAGATCTGAGTTATACAGGACTATCCTTCTTTCCAGAATATTAAGTATAGATATATAGATATAGATCATTGTATGGTTATTGTATTTGTGATGACTTCCTAAAAGGGGCCTCTGTGCTGGAAGACTGCCTTGTCAAAAGATTCATTTATTTATCATATGGCGACCTTTACTTTCCAAAAGCAACCTCCACCTTGATTTAACCTTTTCAAATATGGTATGAAATTTATTTTTACATGTACACGTATGTGAATTTTGACATCAAATGAGAGCTGGTTGAAGCTATTGACACCAGACATAGAATAATTTATAAAGAATATTTCAAAGTATATACTGTACTTAATTTAAAATATTTAAAATAGATTTAACATGAAAAATCATATTTATAAATTAATTAGTTGTTTGTTAATACATCGTAGATAGGGCTCACCAATGTGCTATAATGAAGTAGAATTCGTAAAAAGAAAAACTGGATGTAATCCCGAGGCTCTCATTGATAACATGCAATGGAGACATCCTAGCTTTAGTTCTATGATAGTATTTGACCTTTCATCAATGAGGCATGCTTATTTTGCATTCTTTTTTATTTTCCAGTGAATTTAATAATGAATTCTCTTGTTATTTAAGTGTGAAATTGATGAACCAGGGTATTTTCTTCCTTCTAGAGAATCTTAAGAATAGTATCATTATATGAATATAGAAATCCAGGAGTATTATAGCATTAACTGAATATCAGAGTGAGGATATAGTTTAGGGCATGAGATATTTGCACAACCTGTCATTGAATTCATGGTACAGGGTTACCCCAAAAGAATTCAACTCTCTAATGAAAGAATAACATTTTCAATTATGGTCAAATCTTTTCAAATTTTCATTAATAATTGCATGAAAAGATGGTGTTCATAGAGGTTATACCACCTAGGGAGGGATTGTATATTATGTATATTGGGTTTATGCAGAGGGATGATATGATATCTTCTCAAGGGATCGAAGGGATCATGTTTACAAAAATAAACCCCCAAACCATAGAAGACCTGAAGAAGAAGATCACCAGGAAGATCGGGGGTTTTCTGTGGACGAATGTGTTTGGGTTGTCAAAAGTGCAGGTTGAGCTAATCATCTGAAACATGGCCAAAAAACTCTATTTCACAAGTTACTAGCACATCTTGAAACACTCAGATCACCCCATTCTGATCCTCATGCATCTTTCTATTTTTCAACAAAAATGGAATTGTAGAAGACTATTATTTCTCCTGAATCGATCACTTTGACAGTAAATTCCTTGTAATCTCTGGAGCTCTATTTTCATACCCGTCACATCTTCCTGTCTCCCATTCCGTAAAAACTAATAAATATAGAAAATATCTTACATATTAGAAAATTGGTTGGTGGAACTTAGATGGTAATGTTCTTTAAATCATTGGATGTTGTGGTTTGTAGAGGGATTATTTTTCTATTGTTTTATCAAACAATTACCAATGTATTTCATTTATCATTGTCTGTCTAGTTAACATGACCAGAGGTCTGTCACGTTCATGAAGTCATATACATCCATAATATTTTGCTCTCCTGAAAGTGGAGCAGATTACTCTCATTTGTGCTTGCAAAGAGCTAATCATGCAAGATGTTTTTGTATGTTGTAAATTTTGTTTTGATTTACAAGTTTTGCCCCATACCAAAATTATACAATTTTAGTTTATTTAAGTGTAGATAAGTGATAGTTGTTTGATAACAAGAAGTGATTTTTTATTATGAGTAGGCTATGACACATCATGCATATGCCTCAGTCCATTCAGAATTTCAGAGATCAATCCTGTGTCACAAAAAAGTGAATCGCTTTTTAACATGTAGTTTCTCAACATTTAATTATTCAAATTTATTACAAAGAAACCCGAGGGTATCATTAGCAAGCTCTACAAATATTAAAGAGAGTTACACATTGTGTAAGAATTGACAAATTCAAAAATGCATGTCAAAAAATCCAATATAACAGAGCTTTGCAATGAGACCTTCATAGTGTTTGTCAATCAGTTTTAGCCTCAAAAACAGCTCGTCTGTGTGTCAGATTCATTGATTTGTTCCATTGTTCTCTCTTTCCAAAATACATTCATTCCTGTTTGGAAGAATAAACAATGCCTTAAAGGGTTCCGATTAGCATCCCGTATAAAAACAATATGGCGGCTCCAGGCGAATCAACTGGATCAGTCCATTTTTAAGAAATAAGGGGAGTTCTTTAAAATCCAGTTTATTTAAATTGTCTTTGAGATAAAGTAATCCGTTTATAATGATTTTAAAAACGTTATCCAAAGAGTGATTGCGTTCAAAGAATACATGTACAACAGCCAATATAAATCCTTGTATTAGAAACCGATTTGTCTTGCTTTGTTTCATTTGTAGGATATTTCATATGCCAAGCTGTGTGCTATTACGTTAGGTGGGGAAATTTAGATGCCAATTTTTCCTTATTATACACAAATAGAAGATCTTGAAACTTCACCCATAAATGTGGAATTGATTTGTCAAAATAAAAATCATCCTTTTATAAATGTGTGACGATCTATAATATACTTATGCTATATAACAGTTAGAGGTGTTGACACAACGACCTCGAACCTGTGAACCCTTGAGTACATGTATTATTCCGGGATCGGGCCTTTTATACTAAACGGTGAGCAACACCAGAAACGAGCGTTCGATTTGCTAAACGATATGCGTCACCCTTTAAAGTGATAAGGGATGAAGCTACTATTGAAAACTGTTTCAAGGTGTAAGATTTTGGTGAAGATGAATCGTAAATGAATTAAAAGCAAGAATTATAGTCATATAACTGTAAATAAACTTATGAACAAAAATGTACTACATCCAACATGCATTAAAGGATGGAATGATTATGTCATGATAGGTGATATCAAAAGAAAAATGCACAAAAAGCATTTCTGCTTGCCAAAAACAGCTTTTTCAGACTGAATTAAAGGACTTTTCCATTGATACCAGATATTTTGGCCTGGTGTTAAGTTTTAATTTTAGAATACAGTAAAACCTGTCTAATCCAAATGCCATTGGGACTGGATAAAAGCGTTCAGATTAGGAGGTGTTCACATTTCAAGGTTTTTGCATTCGCAATATTCCGGATTCTGAAGAAATGTGAACACATTCTTGGTAAATATTTTTAGTTCGTTTGACCACATAGCTTTATGGCATTCCAGAAATTTGAAAATTCGATTCAAATGAATCTAGTCATACTGGAAAGCCCCATTATGAATGAGACCATTCAAGATTATTTGCCAAAGTTTTGATATCATGACAAAATTTGAGCAATTTTGTATGAAACATCAGTAATTTTATGAAAAGTGTTCAGATTAGACAGGTGAAATTTTCAAATATGACTGTTCACTGTTCAAATTGGGAGGTGTTCACATTTCAAGGTTTTTTTAACATGGGAGTCAATGGGAGGAAAAAATGGGACTGAAAAAAAGTGTTCAGATTGGGAGGTGTTCGGATTAGCCAGGTGTTCAGATATACAGGTTCTACTGTACTTGCATAGTATACTCCACTTAGTGTGCTAAATGTATAATAAAATCAAAAAATAAATTTGATATCTATTGGCAAAATGAATAACCGGAGGATATTGCGATAATATACTCCGGAAAACCAATATGCAGAGGATATCGTGACGATATAGTCCCGAAAACCCAATATGTGGAGGATATTGTGATGATATGAGACGCTTGTTGATTTCCCGCCAAATTGACCCTATTTGGCATGAAATTCATTTTGCAATGATATTATGCATTTAGTACACTCCTTGTAAGTGTATGATAATAAGAACATCCTATGATTTTTTCAGAATATCATTTTAATCTACTCAGTGATATTGATGTATGCACTCGTTTGCTTTGCTCTCTCGTGCAGATATCAATATCACTTGTAGATAAACATGATATTCCTCAAAATCATAGGGATATCCTATAAATATGTAACCCATCTCTTCAATATTTATAGCACTTTCCAACAAAACCCTGAAGTTTCTGTATAATTTTTTTTGAGATTTCGGCTTATCCACAGCTGAGAAAATACTTGTCAAAAAGAGGCTCACATTTTTGGGACACCCGATTATTCAACATATTTGACATATTTTTACATAATAATTTGTCAACAATAATGATTTCCAAGAAATATATAAGCACAAGTGCCAAAGGGAAAGGACCAAAAGTTGTAATGGAACCCAGCAAGAAAAAGCAAACTTTAAGTGCATACCAGTCAAAAAAAACAAACCCCATTATAGGCCAAAACCATGATCTAACGTGAAAAGAAACCATGTCCAATACCCCCTTTCCCCCACCATTCAAGAACCAATATTACAATCCAAGACCAGAAGACCAAGGGACATTTCATTCATACTGAAGTCATAACAATTCATGTTGAAGAAAAAATTAAAAATTGATAGCTAAATTGATAAAGTTATTTTGTGTATGTAGTACTTGTTTTTGTAATTGATTTATTTATTATTTTGATTTGATATACAGTTAATATGGTTTTGAGCAATTGATTTCTAAATAAAATCTAGTTGTTTTATCTATATTACATTTAAGTGACAGCTTTTATTGATTCATCTTTTCTATTGTATCCCACCTAACGAAGTTATTATTCAAATTAAAGCAAAAATCTTTGTGGGGTAAAATATTCTAATGAAGGCCCTTTGGAAAGTAAATTGGGTCCTTTAACAAAAATTATACCTTTTTAGGCCTTTGATGCTTTTTTCTGCTCCAAGGTTTGACAGTAAATCCACATTTTTGACTCATTAGAAATGTGGCAAAATTTTCAAAAATTGTTTAAACTGTATAATCATTTGGAAGAAGCATAAACATTTTTTGGCCCCCTCCCATGTGAGTTTCCAAATTCATCTATGGTGAATGAAATCATTCTGATTATCCCTCTTAT